GAAAAAAAAGAAGGTTTATTTCGTATGTATATGATGGGTAAACGTGTTAATTATGCTGGTCGATCGGTAATATCACCTGATCCATTTATTGGAATTTATCAAGTTGGAATACCTGAAATATTTCCAAAAAAATTAACTTATCCACAATTAGTTACACGAGATAATGTTGATGAATTACGTCAATTAATTCTTAATGGATCAGATGTTCATCCTGGGTATAATACAAAAGAAAAAAGAAAAATTCTTTGATGATATAGAATAAAAAAAGATTATTTTAGAGGAAATTTTGTTGAACTTGAAGATGAAACAATTCGTCGTTTATTACCAAATAATTTATCTAAACGAACAGCTGTTGCTAAACTTTAATTAACAAGAGAAAAACAACATAGTAATACAAGTTTAATGTTTAGAAAAAAAGTGTTATCGACATCTTCGAACCGGTGATTATGTTCTTGTTAATCGTCAACCAAGATTACATCGACCAAGTATACAAGCTCATATGGTTAATTTTTTGTTTGTTCTTTGAATAATATTCATTATCAGGCTCGAGTATAACCTGGTGAAAAAACCTTAAGATTACGTTATGCTCAATGTAAATCATATAATGCTGATTTTGATGGTGATGAAATGAATATTCATTTACCACAAAATCAATTAACACGAACTGAAGCTGCTGAATTAAGTACATAGTTTGTTTTTTTTTGTCAAGGAAAAAACAAAATTTTGTTTTTTGTATTTTTAGTGATAACTTATCAAGATTTTCTTGTAAGTAAAGATGGAACACCATTAACTGGTTTTATTCAAGATCATGTTGTTGCTGGTACAACATTAACAATGCGTGATGGATTTTTTGAAAAGTATTTTATTTTATTCAAGTTATAAAAATATATTTATATAAATTCTTTTTTATTTTAAGATCTGATTATCAACAACTTGTATATAATGCAATTGGATCAGATTCTCGTCGAAAAATTCATTTATTACCACCATGTATTTGGAAAGCAAAACAATTATGGACTGGAAAACAAGGATTTTTTTGTTTATCTTAATAAAATCTATTTGTTTTTTTATTAAGATTATTTCAACAATACTTCTTTATATTCAACCAGTTAATCAAGCTTCATTTTATCTCGATAGTAAATCAAAATTTTCAATGAAAGTAAAAAAAATAAATAAATATATAAATAATAAAATAATAAAAATATTTCTTAAAGTCATGCCCATCAAAATCAAATGCAACAAATATTGATTTAATGGCTAATACAGATGTTATTATTCGTCATGGACATCTTCTATCTGGTTTAATTGATAAAGCACATTGTGGTTCAACACTTGCATCTCTTCTTCATTCTTATTATCAATTATATGGAAAACGTTGTACTGCTGATCTTGTTACTGCTTTTTCGAAATAATTTACACGTTTTTTTAAAATATTATCGAGGATTTACACTTGGAATTGAACGGTAATAAAAATTTTTGTTTTTGATCTAGAAATAAATATTTTGTTGTTTTAGATGTTCTTTTACTTTCACTTGATGTATCACATTGACGTCGATTAATAAATTAATGTCGTGCTCAAGCAGGTCAACAAAGCTTTACAAAAAACATTTTCTCTTTCGGAATATTCAAATGAACAAATACTTATTAATGAATTTGCTAAAGGATTTTGTTTAAAATCATTTGATGAACATATATCAAAAGAAATGGATATTAATTATAAAATATCTATTGATTAATATCAAAATCAAATTGTTAAACAATCTATGTCAAATTTATTTAAA